TGGTTATATAATCTCCAAAGGCAAATTCTGCACAAAAGCCTCTGGATTCCTTCCTCTTGGGGAGGGATTCTCCTCTGGTAGGTTTCAAAGCTTCTGAAAGCATAATTTTAGCTCTGAAAAATGTATTTGAGCATTAGCATTGATGAATGATACAACATAAAGGTGAAGCAGCACTCTTGAGCCTCAAAGATAGTCACAGGAGAAGTTAAAGCAGGTACAATTTATTGACAAATAAGAGAGGCAACCTCCTGCCCATACCATTGTACAACATCCAGGTGGAAGACAAAGACGATCTGTGCATGAGCCCTGGCTGTGAGAAGCATGAGAAAGAAGACACCCTCCTGCCATTTTTTATTTGAGGAGTAGAAGTAAATCTTACAGAGGGCCTTACCTGACTATTAATGCAGCCCCTCAAACACTAAAATAAAAGTTAACCAAAGAACATCCCCTCCCACATCCTAGGCAAGACCACCCCTTTTGGCTCTTGCTGCTATTCTTCTTGTGATGAGGTGAAAAATTAAAACTTTGATGTCCCTACTCTCTCCCTCCGCCACTACCTCTGTTTTTCTATCCCAGTTGCATCACTGCATGGGCGATGATTGGTCCATGATGTTTATAACGAGCTTGTGCATCCTATGCCTGCTTCTCTGAGTTAAGCCATGGCTGTCAGCTCTCCAATAAACTGTGGACACATCACAGGTGTCCATAAAGTCAAACTGGCTCTCATGCCCAGGCTCTTACCTCATCCATGGCTGGATGAGCCATTATGGCATGAGCTGTAGCTTGCCATTTGAATGTGGTTCATGTGTGGCCCTCTTATCTCTTTAAGAAAATAGAGTTTCCAGAGTGTGAGAAAGCTGAGTGGTACAGCAATTTTGGCCCCCAAGTCTTGCAAATCTTCACACATGCATGTGCTGAAGGTCAGCATGGCCTTTAAAGGCTGCAGGATCAGGGCTTTTGCTTCCTTGTTACTTTTGCCTAAGCTGTAAATCTATTATGGCTATCAAACAGTTGAGATAGATTTGTAACATTACAAATTTCTAAGGATTCCTCTCCCTTTCCCTTTCCCAGCATTTGAATTTTTCCTGTATTTATAGCGCACATGACAGAAAAACTAATATTCCTTTGTTCTCCCTGTCATCTCTGTACTGAAAGGCCCAGATCAACCACCCTGAGCTCAGCTCTCATGGCAGGCAAGAGATGGTCGTCTCAGTGTCAAAGATTGTTTTAAAATAAAAGGGATCTCAATTCCAGCATTGGAAATTAATGTTAGCTCTTGTGTTAATAATTTAGAAAATACATGCCAAATCACTTGTGTTCTCTCAGTTCTCCCTCAACACAGCTGCAACCTGCATTAGGCGTTAGGGCGAGTGGATACATTTCAGATGAGATATTTGTACTGAATTATTAGAGTAGTCTGTATTACAAAATTACTAATAAACATTGCTTCTGGCTCAATTTAGTCTGAACTCAGTGAACCTAACCAGTGGTGAGAAATCAAAAACCCTGAAATACCCAATGAATGAATCTAACTAATCAAGAAACCCTGCAGGAAGTAGATGCCAGGATTAATGAGCCAGTGGTTTCACCATGCCATGCTGTTATTTCTTCACATAAATGCCCTCAGATGAGATTACCTTTGTCATGAAAAGGAGAAAAGGAAGGTTACATACTTTCAACTGACAGGTTAACTGCCATACCTCCATTACTGCAAGATACATTTTCATGTGCAGAGATTTTTATTCTGAAAAATGAAAATTTAAAGACCACAACACAAATTAAACCACATTTTCATTTCTAAGAGCAGGGATCATTATTGCTAGTACAATAATATAATCCATTCTGCAGTGTTACCTGATCTCTTGCCTTGCACAAACTTTCTTCCCATATTAGTAATTGCGCAGTGATTGCAATCTTCAGCAGTGGGTAAGAGCAGATTCTGCCTTCCATGGGGATTTAAGCAGAGGAAGGGAAGAGAGAGAGTGTGTCAAAATATTTCATCAAGAGAGCAAATGAAAGGTTCAGTGACATTATCTTTATGTATATTCCTTAGACATTAGGGGTGATGTTGTGTTTAGAGAGAAGTATAGTTACATGAATATGTGCCAGTGTGGAAATTAATCCAAACATAAGAACATAAATCTCAGTCTACTTACACACTGGGTGGAACTGCTTAAGGAGAAAATGCACCTTAACATAAGCAAAGAAGCCCAGCTTGTAACAGCACCAGTGCCTGGTGTTAGCTACTTAGTCAGTAATAGGCTAATTGTTATTCAGCATAACTGTTCCCTCTCAGTTTATACAGAATTCACTCATTTATTTTGATCACTTTATGTGAATGAAGCAAAGCTGTTCATGTTGTTAGATAGAACTGCTCAGTGCTGTTTAATTTTTATCTTTTTACATCAGCACGAGTGAGATTTTATAATAAAATAATTCACACCCAACCAGTAACGTATGTGAGTGAAACCCGTGGTCCCCTTCCTTTCATCCACGTTAAATACATAAGAGCATCATCTTTGATGTTTTATGTTGTAAAGCTTCAGCAGGTGTTAAGGGTACATATAATTTCAAAAATCACCAGGACTCAGAACACAAAGAACTATTGCTATGGAAACAAATCAAATTTTTATCAAAGTTGGGTAGGATCAAAAAGCTTTTCTCATAAGCAGGACTACAGTTGCATTAAAATATAGAGGAAATGGCAGATGTTTTAGGAGTGAGCATTAAGCCAAGGGACATTTGTAAGGCCCCTTCCAAAGCACTGCAACGTTCAGTGTCAAGAATTGGATCTTATAGGTTGTGTCTCAATCCCCTGCCCCCAGCCAGAGCAAGCATTTTTCTCCACCATTAAAAAGCACATATTTTTTAAAGATCTTCCATACCACACTTTATGACATTCCTATATCATAAAGCTGTCTTGCTTATAGTAACATAAAGCAGCTGTAAAAATTGCACGCTTGTAAACAACCTTCCATACGTTTGGAAGAAGTAGAGTGAGATTTGCACTTTTCTGCAAGAAAGTGGAAACCTGTTTGCCCTCCTGGCAACAGGAGGCCACAGCATGGGGGGGAAGAGGCTGCTGTGGAACTGGGAAGACCAAGGGATGTCCCAGCTAGGCTGCCATTCCCATTGGTCCATGCAGGGTCACCCCTGGGATAGGGAGGCTGGAGGAACTCTGACCAGCCCTGCCCCATAGGCACCGTGTGACCACACCTTTGATGGCTAACCTAAACTGCTTATGAACTTGAAACTCAGTTAAGCCTGGGAACAGAGGGGCAGTTGCTCTACCCAAGGCTGGGCTGGGGCATACAGGGAGGGCTGCAAGGAGAGAAAGGACATGGTGACTTCTTATCCCAGGTGCTGCCATGGTGTGGATTGTGGTATGCGACCTATCTTGCCTAGCCTGGACTGTCTCAGGTTGAGCATCCTGGGTTGTTTCAGCACCTGCAGGAGCTGGCTCCTGCAGAAGGGTGCAGGGCTGCTTTCTCAGGTGACCCCCAGAGGACTCACTCATGGTCTGGATCACCAATAATTTATTCTGCTTTTATTTCTTTTTTAAATTAAATATGCATACATAATATGCACTTTGGAGCAGGCAAGGACCCTTCTGTGGATGCCTATGGAACCAGGCACTCTCAGGTGTGTAATTAAGAGGTGTGTAATTGATGTACAAGGAGAAGATATCTCAGTGCATTGCATAAAAGGCAAGGGCGAGGGGGGAAGAAGAAAAAAAGAAGCCCAAACCTGGTTTTTACAATGTTTGCCGATGTCCTGCAGTTCTTTTTTCTGCTGTGTCAAAGTTTGCCTGTGAGTAAACCAGGAGTTTTCTCTTCTGTGGGTTTTGCTTCTCCAGCAACCGTGCCCCCATTTCACATGTGGAAAAAAATGAAGCACCCTTCCGCTGCCTGCCTGCCCCACTGCCTGCTGTCCCACACCCCTCGCCCCTGCCCTTCTTCACCACAGAACTTGTTACTCGCAGTTTAAAGGCCAACCACACAGAAAGATTAACAAAAGTTTATTAATCATGAAGTATTAAAATTGTGACAAGTGAAAGGCATCAATGCAAAGATAAGCAAGCAAACTATCCCCAAACTTGTGACAAAGGACTCAGTGAATACCACAGAAGGAAGTCCTGTCTTTTTTTTTTTTTTTTTTTTGCCTGCAGTTGAAGACACCTCTCATATCTCACACGCCACATCAAAATCTATAATTCTTCATATCACATACTGAAAATGATTTTATTTATCCATTCACATTAACTTGATATAAACGCGTCCGGAAAAGTCAAGTAATATGTTTTATATTAGCTCAAACATTTATTAAGTAACCCAAAATTCAATAAATAAGCACAGACAATAAGTTAAAACATATCACGAATCGACCAGTATGTAACAAGAATGCTTTATCTACACAAAACATCCTATTTCACATCGTTTGTTCATTCCTCCAGCGGCCCTGCCCTGCGGCGGGGTGACCGGCACATGCAGGCGGGCGGGCCGCGGGGCCGAGCCGGGCCGGGCCGAGCCGTGCCAGGCGGGGCAGGGGGCGCGGCGGCGCCTCCGCCGGGGCTGCGGAGGGACAATAGCAGCAGGAACGTAAATAAATGCGTAAATAAAGGTAGGGAGGATCGGCAACTCAACTGTCACGAAATCAAAGATCCGAAAAAGGGAAGCGCTCTTGCGCGCTTATTTTTTCCCCCTTTTATCCCCTTTGTGTTTTACAAAAAGAAGCTTTTGATTTTTTTTTTTCCTTTTTCCCCCATCTCATTCGCTCTCGCTCATCAATGTTTAATCAAAATGGATTCGATTCTCTCTGGGGTCTCCGTGCCGTTTCGCGAACCCGCCCGATCGCCCCCCGACGGCGCCCTCGCAGCGGAGGGAGCCGGCAGCAGGTCGCCGCACCTAAATAAACCATAAAAATTATGAAAACAGAACTAAAAATGCATTTCTTTGCAAAGCCAAAGCCGGTCGGGCGCCTGGCGGGAGAGTCGGGTCTTGGCGACGAAGGGATATAGTGCCGCGCTCGGGGCGGCTGCGAGTGGTCCCGCCGCCGGGCGGGGCGGACCGCGGGGCACGGGAGTGCGCGGGGAATGCGCGGGGACGGAAAGGGTGTGGGGAGGGTCGGGGAATGTTTCTCGGCCCACAAACCAGTCTGTTGGTGTCTGATTTCAGATCCTGAGTCGACTCCCTGGTAAGTCGGGTGGGAGAAGGCGGGGGCGCGGGGCGAGGCGGCTGCGGGGACGGCTTGGGGCGAGGCGGCTGCGGGGACGGCGTGGGGCGAGGCGCCGGCCATTAAGTGAAACTCATGGAGACTGTGTGCTCTAGTGCTTTGCGGCGGAGGGAGGCGATGCTGGTTCCCCGCCACACGTCGCTGCTGTCCGGGGAGCTGCAGAGCTGGGGCGAGCCCGTCACGTTGCTGGGGCCGGGCAGGGAGGCTGGCACCATTCCGGGGAAGGCGGGCTGGTAGAGGTGGGATTGCAGCCCGGCGCCGTTGGAGCCCGCCAGGCTGTTGGAGAGCCCCATGGAGTTGGGGGGTGGCCCGGCCGCCAGGCTGCACTGGGACAGGGATTGCGCCATGGCTTGCTGCCGTCCCAGCGCCGGCGGCAGCGGCAGCTGCGACACGCCGGGCATGGCGGCGGCGGCCCAGCGCGTGTCGTTGGCGTGGAAGGAGCACAGGCTGTCGCCCATGGCGGCGGCGGCGGCGGCGGCCGCCGAGGGGAACTGCGGCAGCCCCGGCGTGGGCAGCAGCGTGCCCGGGGCGCGGAACACGTTCGTGGTCTTCTTGCGCTTCTTCCACTTGGCCCGGCGGTTCTGGAACCAGACCTGCGGGCGGCGGGCAGCGACACGCTCCGTTAGCCACCACCACCACCCCCCGCGGAACCCCGCCCCGGCTCCCGGCGCCCCCGAGCCCCCGCCGACTGCTGGCGCTCCTCACACCCGCAGCCCCAGGCGTGTCCCCGTCGTGGGTTAAAGAAACTGGTGGAACTTTTTATAACGAAACCAAGCGATGTGTCCCTCCAGGCACTGAGCCGTCTGCGGTCTCCCTCCCCCAGCGGAAGGCTCCGGGAGAGGAGCCTGGCCTCTCCCCGAAAAAGAAATCTAAATTTAAAAAAAAAAAAAAAAAAAAAAAAAAAAAAAAAAAAAAAAAAAAAAAAAAAACCACCACGGCTCCGGCTCTGGCGTGGACGCGCTCCCGAGCCGCCATCGGGGTCAGCTCTCTCGCCCGGTGACGCCGGAGTCCTAGGGCAGGAACCCCCCTCGCCAAACTGTCCGCATTTGGGTTTGAAAAAACATAACAAAACCAGAGATGGTTCAGGTGAGTGGATGCCCCTGGTGGCACCGGATCAGGGCTGACTTGATGAGTCTCGTCTCACCGCAGCCGAAAGCAAGCGAGACAGTCTTGAGCCGGGAGAAACCGCGTCCACCTGAAATCCAAAGGAACGCAGTACCCCGACCTGCCGCATTCCACGATCTCAGGCTCCGTACCCAGACTGAGAAAGGCAGATGCCCATTAGCGGGAATGAGCAGCCGTGAGGGAGCAAAATATTATATGGATAATCGAAAAATCGCGTTCAATTATGTTTTAGGGTTAATAGTTAAATTGCGGCTACAAAATCTTTTTATGTTTCATGGTTTGCTGGTGGTGTAAAGAATCTCCATCGGGTCTGATCGCCTAAGCTCATAGCTATGCTGCATATGCTTTTAAAATGTGAATGTTTCCAGTTGAAAACTAGTGCATGACAGATTAAAATGCAGGGAAAACCTGGGGGAGATTTTGAAAATGCACACATGACAACTCTAGAAATATATTAACCATGAGCATTTGGCAACTTTGGACTTCTTTTAAAATGCAACTAGCCCCTGAAAATTATTAATACAACAGTGAGAATCTAATGGAGTTTGGAATCTAAAAATCTACCTTGATGATTTCTGCTGTTACAGTAATATAGACATACTGTAAATGTATTTTAAAATATATAGCCCATTTAATTCCCCAGCTATAAATAGGTGAGAGAGAGAGAAAGCAAAAGAGAGGAGAGACAATATAATTTTCGTTTTTCTTCTTCTCTCTCTCTTTTTTTTTTTTTTTTTTTTAGGAGAAGAAGCTTTATGAAGATCTCATTGGAATCCAGTGGATGATTAATGTGAAGATTTGGTAGGAAATCTGGAGAGCTGTATTAAAGCTCAGATCTCAGGTTCATTTCGATCAGCCAGCCGTGAACTCTGGGCCGAATTCATTACACTTTAATAGTGCTGGGAGAGGAAGAAAATGCAATTTCTCATTCCATTAGAAAACTAGAAAATACTCTCAGCTTGTCCTCTATTAAGATGTGGCAGGTGACGGGACCATTGTGGGGGACACGGTGAATGGAATTACAGCACATTATTTTTGTTCGTATAAAATATTGGAAGGCAAGCCTGACTGTGCAGAAGTTATTTCACTGATTTGGTTTTTATGTAAATAAAATATTGAAAGTTAATTAATCCGTGCTAGAGACTAATGATTATGCTTATTATATTGCATTTGATCGCGTAATTTGCATGATTCTCGCATTGCTGCTTAATAAGCCATTCCAGGTTATAAATAATTCCGAAATTGGTTTCTAATAATGGCATGCTATAAAAAGAATGGTTTTATTACAGCAGCCTGAAAAGCAGAGCAATGTCAGATGTGGAACTGGAGTCCCGTTTAAGCATCAGCCACTTTAATAATTATTTAAATGTATCATATACATTAAATGCAGATCTAAAATGAAGAAAGCGGTGATTTATCCTGGCATCTAAAACTCTTAAAAATATATACAGCAGCTATAAATTAAGTATTTGGAGCATCCCTTAATCAGTGTGGAGCCCACGTACTGGAAGGAATATGTAGGCAATCTGTTAACTATAAAGAAAACTGTAAAGTACTCTTTTAAGAACATAAACCAATTACTATTTAATTTAAATTTGGTCAAGGAGCAGTCATACATTGGATTGTGAAGTAAATACATTAAATAATTTTTTTCCTTAGATTACATAATGTTAATCATTTTGAAATGTTAATTAAGAAGGTTATGTTGATCTGATTACTTTTTAAACTACAGAACATTATTGTAAAAAATATTTAAATTGCCACTCTATTAAACTGTTTTTATCAGCAGTCTCGAGCTATTAGCGTTGGTTTAAGATTATGCCAAGGCCATTAAAACACTTTGTCTTTCTTCCTACGAATTTCTTTGATGTGCTGTTAGAAAATAACTGTTTCCATTTTATATTTTACTTCATTTACCACACTCCTAATATTGAAATTGGTATCATTAACCTTTGGGAAACCCAATAAAGTTTAATAGACCTCGTTTTCTTTTTTTCACAGAGTCAGTTGTCCAATTATATTTTATTTGTGAATCTAATTTCTTTCTTAATTTAAACTAATTATAGTTCTGTGAAGACAGAGTCAAATTGTTTTACTTTTTAAAAGCAGACGTGCTTTTTCTGTCACGTTCAAGAATGGAATCTGTTTTTGTTAATTAAAACGTTCATGTAGGGATTTGTCATAACGTGTCTTTATTTAGTTGAGGAGCCTATGCTTGCCGAGAGGGATTTTGAACAGCAACTGCGGTAAGGTGCGGCAGCAGTCCCGGCTGTACTGAGCTGGGATGCACATCCCACAAGTACTTCTACTGTGCAGGCTTTCATTCTTGGGAATGGACTCTCCTAGAAAGTCACTAAAATAACCTTATAAACACAAAAACCACATCTGAGTGTAGTGCTTTGATGCCTCTAACCCTTCTCCTAATTTTGTTTACATTTAAATAGTTTCCTCTGCTCCTGTGTGCAGATGTATATATATTTGTGTGTATCTTTGCACCCATGTAGATATATATACTTTACAAAACAAAGTACACCCTAGATGTTGAAGACACTCGCTACCCCCTCCACCTTCAGGCTTTTTAAAAGCCAGTGTGGGGAAACTCCGAGTTCAAATACAACTGCCTTTTACGTAAGTGCCTTTTCATGAGCCCATGTGCCTTCCCGCGCCCTCCACTGCGGCCCTCACGGCCGGGGTGTGTGGCGGACTCCTTTTCCCGGCCGTGCCGCGGTAGCGCCGCCGGCAGCACCCTGGACAGCGGCCCCGCCGGCAGCTCCCCGGTCTGCGGGCCTCGCGGCCGCCGCCAGGCTCCACTTGGTGGAACAGCGGTCATTACCTGGCGGTTCGGCTCGGCTCTTAGGGCCAGGCTATTGCGAGGGCTGAGATTCGCTCCTCTAAGGCTGTGCCTCCCCGGACTTACTCCTGCCGTGGTCGGGCCGTGGAGTTCAGCCCGTGCCCCGCTCGGGACCACCGCGCTGTAGGTGGGGAGGGTAGAGGACAAGGGGACACCCCAAGGCGACAGCTTTGCGGAAAGAGGGGCGAGGGATGCCTGGTTTCAAGGCTTCCCGGCCAAACTGTTGCTTTCAGGGCTGGATTACTTCCCTCGCCGTCGGGCTGAGCTTTGGGTCACCCACCCCCCGCCCTGTCGTGACTGGACTCGCCGCCGGCCGGCTGTGCAGCCGTCGGTGAGACTGGGGAAAGGGCCGGCGGGCACTGCGTGGGGGCGGCTTTTCATACCTGCACCCGGGACTCGGTGAGGCCGATGCGCAGGGCCAGCTCTTCCCGCATGAAGATGTCCGGGTAGTGAGTCTTGGCGAAGCTCCTCTCCAGCTCGTTGAGCTGCGCCGGCGTGAAGCGGGTGCGGTGCCGCTTCTGCTTCTGCTGACCCTGCTGCTGCCCGGTCTGGCTGGGGTTCTGGCCGCCCTGCTGGCCTTGCTGCTTATCGGCGTCTTTGGCGCTGACGGCTAGGGAGCTGGGGTTGGATCCCACCGTGGTGATGTCCTCCCCCGGCAGCAGGGTGGTCCCTTCCACCGTGTCCGAGTTGGGAGCCATGTCTCCCGGGTGTCCCCCCGGATCTGAGCCCCCTACGCCCAGCCGACACTTCACCGCCTCGCGATGTCCCAGCAGCTCAGCTGCATCTTTCATCCCTGCGGAAGCAAAGGAGCGGCAGTCACTCCGCTGCTGCCAGGTATGGATCCATCAGAGCCGCTTTTCAACGTACTGAGCTGGCTAGAGGCATCCAGCCATCGCCACCGCCTCCGCCCCACCGTCCCCCAGCAGCCCGCCAGACCCCCAACCCTGCTCGGCTCCGAGACGCACAGAGACCCCGGCCCGGCGCAATCCGGGCGGAGGAGGGAAAACTTTACACCGAACAGCTCCTCTTCCTGCTGAAATAACCAGCTCCCTGTCCGACCTCCCCATGCGAGATGAGGGGAAGGGAAGAGGGGGAGGGCAAGTTTTACCGGATTCAACTTGGGTTTTCCAGCGGAGCTGGTAACAGAAAGAGATGGAAAGAAATAAGGCTCGAACCGCCCTGCTGCGGGGAGCACTACCTCCCCGACAGATGCGCGGAGACCTCGGTCTGTCTAGCCGATCTTTCCCCTCTTCTCCCTCCTTTCCTCTAAACAAACTCAGGAATAACCATCAATAGATAGATACAGATATTTCTCTTTTTTAAAAAAAGGAAAAGAAGGAGAGAGAAAAGCGAACAGGAAGAGGCCATCCGGAACTCTGTAAACATCATCAAGCTCATCTGTCCTAAAATAATAATAATCATCATCATAGTAATAACGTGTAGGTATATATACAAAAACAGGGGAGAAAAAAATGTAAATTATCCACAACTCGCTGTAGATCTACATACTCCGTAAGTCTCACTCCCTCTTCTTTTTTATGTTAAATCAAATTAAACTTTAATACAGTACAATTACTTTTAAAAGAATTAGCCCATTTAGATCGCATTAAGGTAAAATAAGGAACAAATTGTCAATTTCCTGCCCCGGCTTCTTCCCCGTTCGCTGCCGCCGGTGCAGCCGCCGCGGGGCGGGGGGGTGCCGGGGGAAACTCACCGAGACGGGCGTCCAGGAGGTCGGCGTGAGACAGCATCGCGCACCGCTCCAGGGCGAAGGCTGTTCCCCCCCAAATTTTAGCGGCCTTAAGTTATTTAAAATAGATATAAGATATGAGATATATATATATATATATATCGTCTAAATGAAAGAAAATTCGGTGTGTGGTTAAAAAGGGGGTCTCTTGCATTATAATGTCCTTTAGAGAGACGGGGAGGTGCTTAACACTTCAATGAACCCGTGAGCAGCTCGGCGCGGGGACCAATCAGGAGGGCAGCCTGCAAATGTCAGCGCCCGGAGCGCCCCGCTCCGCCCGCCCGCCGCCCGCCCGCTGCCGCCGCCCCGGCCTCACGCCGCCCCAACCCGCCTGGCCCGGCCCGGCCCGCGCTCCCTTACCCTGCTCCGCTCGCTTGGGCCGCCCGCCTTCTCTCTCTCTCCTTCTCTTCCAAGTGCACATTAGCCACACTCCTCCCGCTCCGGGTCGTCCCTGATTTATTAGGTTTTATTGTTTTTAATACCTCTTCCGAGCTCACCCTCGCACCCGACCCGGTCGGGTTCCCGGGGGTCTTGCAAGTCCCACGCCCACCGGAGGCTGTGAGCGGGGCAGGCGGCGGGCGAGGGGTAGGGTAGCTCTGGCCTAGCTCGCCAGAGGCCCCGAGGAACCGGGGGCGGGGGCTGCAGAGGAGACCGCGGCACAGCTCTCGCCCACCCGAGCCCCGATGGCTGCGGGGCGTCGAGGAAAGAGAAACTTGAGCGAGTTCTCGCAGCGGCCCGCGCCGCACTGGCTCCCTTAGCCCCCGGGGCTCCCCAACACCCCCGCTCGGTGCCGAAGCAGAGCGCAGCAAGGGGAAAGGGAGCCAAGCACCGTGTGTCTCGGCCGCCCGGGGAGCTCTGCCTTCCTGCCCGGGATTTAAACACCCGTAAGCCCTATTTTTCGGGTAAAGTTTCCAAGTTTGGCTTGCCTACAAACTCAATTTAAAGCAGTAAATAAAGTTAAATGCTTTTTATTTTCCTATTGAATATGTTAAACTACTTGAACAATTTAAAGTGCTTTGCAGAAGGGAAGCGAACCATTTCTAATGTTCTGATTTTTCAAAGCCAGCCAACAACAAAGTTTAGATTAGTAATATATTTCTAACCAGAGTAATTTTCAAGATCATTAGGCATTTATGTAATTAGTGCCAAATCTATAAGCTTTTATTACGATTATTAGAGTAAAATCAGTATAAATTTGTACTAATTTACTACTGTTTAGACTTGGCTGTCAAGCCAAGAGGTTCTTATTGTAAATGATAACTGAGGAAATTAAGTGCAAAATTCTGTACCATTTCTGATCCGCTCCTAAACAATCCGTTTCAATTGTATTTGTAGCAGAACATAATGCCCTTTTAAAGTTATTTGACTTGTATTTTTATTTGCAAAACAAGAAAAATACCCTCTATCCGGGTACAATGAAAACTGATATTTACTACTTCCAACTTGATTAACATTGATTTTTAATTCAAAAGTGATGCAATTAAGATTATTCATTTAGTGCAAATAAAGCTTCCACCAAAAAGGGAGCCTAGTGAAGTCTGTGTTAAATAATACGGCGCCGATGGTTTTTTTTTCCCCACCGTCCAATTGACTTACACAAAACATTGTAAATACTGCATGCGAACAGATGCAAGAGTGATTTTGTTTGCAGCTCAGATGTGCAGGGGTTTCGGCAGTGACTGAACAAGCAGACAAAGGAACCGGCCGACGGATCTCTAGAGCAGTTTTGCTGCCTTTTTTTTTTTTTTTTTTCCTCCTCTCTGCTCAGGCTACACTGATTCAATTCAGCTTTCGAGACGTTGGGCTGTTGCAAACAACCTGAGTGCTCGGGAACTGCCGCTAAGAGCAGGGAGTGAGACCCAGAGCCGGGCCACAATTTAGCCGGAGACAGGGAGAGAAAAAAAGAGATGGAGGTGGGGTGGGAGTTTCGGGATTTTTCTGTTGTTGTTGTTTTGTTCCCGGCTGGATGGGGGACTGTTGAGATGGCACATTTGCTGTGCTTTATTCCTTTGAAAATTATTGTCTGTGTGCAGCTCCAGGGCAGGAGGGAAGGACCCGGCAGCGAAAATCGCTGAGCGGCGCTCCCCGGCCCCGCTGCCTGGCGTCGGGACCCGCGGAGCGGAGCCGGCGAAGTCGCCGGCGGGGACACGGGCCGGCGGCGCGGGTGCGGCGCGGAGCCCGGGCCGGAGCGGTCAGGGGCCGGCCGGGGCGCTTGAGGTCTGGTTTATCTGTATTTACTGGCACAGACGTGCGGGAACTGGAGGTGCCTGCAGCCGGCTTATGCCGAGCGCGCCTCGGGCAGGGTGGCACGGCTTGCGTGTGCATCTATTCCGTGTTGTTGTATGTTTCAGGTCGATAAATAAATGTGTAATAGTTAATGTGCAGACACATCAGAGTAATAACAATGGGATGAAATCAAAGGATTATCAATCTCTGTTAGTAACTGCTGAATAACAATGTTGTGGTGTGATTGATAGCGCGCTTCATTTTATGACTTTTCTATTGCTCTTGATTTTTATAGCAGTATAAACAAACTAAATCATTTCTTCCAAGACTTCAGAGCGCAATCGTTTTAAGGGAAGGGGAGAAATCAGAGAAGGAAGTCTGTGGGAGAGAAAAGAGCGGGCAGGGCTGACACTTAATCGTGTCAGAAAGAAAATGACAATGGGGCATATGTAAAATACCCTAATCACATTCCGCTTTCGCTCACTCCTGTTTCGTCAAGTGTCCAAATTCACTAGGGCAGCTTCGGAGATGTATTTACAAGGATTTTATTTCTCGTCATCTTTCCATTTTCCCGGTGTAGCCAGAAAACTGCCAGTCAAGTCCATTCCCTGTTACAATTTACGGTATTCCCCACATGATCATAGGAACTGAAGTTCCTAACAAGGAAAGGCTTTAACACAATGGCCAAAAATCTTCAGAGTGACACGAGTGTCTTCAGAAATCACTTCAGAGCAAAGTAAAAGGATTTTCTATGACGGATCCAGTGATTTTTCCTCAATAAATAGGTTTTAGATTGTTACACACACGTAGAACTGGAACAAAGGGCAGTACCAGAAAATATATTGGTTGCCCCTAATAAAATTTATTTAGACAGTTTACTTCTCATAAAAAATAGAGATTGAATTTCGTACAGGAGCGCCTGCCAAGAGGCTAGGCACGGGGAGATCATCTCCCCCCGCACCCTCTTTTGCTTTGCTTTACCTTTCCACCCCATCCCTTCCTTTCCCTGCCCCTGCCCAGCGGCGCCCGGCGGGCCCGATCCCCGGGTGCCGGCCGGGGCCGGCTCTCCCCTCCCTTGCACGGCTCCCCCCACCGACTCCAGCCGATCCGACCGAGAGAGGGCCGCTGGAGCGGGGCGTGCCGCGTTTGGGAGCAATATAACCCTAATTCTCCAGCGCTGTGACCCTGGGAAGAAAGGGTAGAGAACTTTCCAACCCCCAGAGCTCCCCCTCTCCCATGCCCGCTAAACTCAAGCCCTGATTGAATGAGGCTGTAATATAAACAAGAGTATTTAACCAATTCTGCTCCGATTTAGGAATAGAACTTTCTTTTATCAGAATAATTATATTTGGAGCGAGGAACACAGTAAAAGAAGGTTAAACTGCTAAAGTCAGCAGGATGGCTTGGCATAAATGGCTGATAAGATTTGTAATTTGATATTTTATTTATGTATTTCTTGAGCATCCATGCAGTTAAGGCGGCTGCTGTATGCAGAGCACCGTAATTGCTTTTTACAAGTAGCAACGCTCACAGCGTTTAGCAAATGTAACTTTTGGTTGCCTGGCTTGTTCGTGCAGCTTTTTTAAAAATTCTTATTATTTTTCCTTTTTCCCCCCCTCTTTTTATTTTCAGACAGTAGTGCTAAAATATCGGATATTATTATTATTCGCATTCCTGCTGTTCAGTGCTGCATTGTAACATTGTTCACTTTAATGAGAAGCGCCTCCCTCAATAATTAACGACCTCACATTTCCCTATTTTCTTGCCTGATGAAAAGAATCAATTTTAATTCATTGTAAATTACAGCTATGCTTTTGAGTGTTATTTGCTTACTTTTCCACATCGACATACCCTAAACACAAATGACAAATCAAACTATATCCTTTCGTTAGGGGTAATTTGGAGTTAAGAAATGGAAAAACATAAACACGTGTTTTCATTTCAATCAACCCTCTCGAAAATATGACTTCTTTGGAAACGAAAGACAAGGCTGCTAGCAGCTACAGACCCAATTTATTCATTCTTGTCACTAAACGTGACGATCATCGCCGCTTTGTGACATTAGGCTGTATGCAGCATTTTGTCGCTTCAATAAATATAGTTCTTTGAAAGCAACTTTATGAAGTTTATAGGCATCCGAGGCAAGAACGCTCGCAGCTGATCAGAAACGCAGCCGCCAGGTGTCCCGAAAACAGCCTCTCTAAGGTCGGTGGGGAGAGCTCGGGTCCCCTGACACCTCTTCTCAAACAGTTAAGATCAGCATTTTCCCATTTGCTTATTTATCTAAATATCTGCATCCGGATCCGGCGGAGCCAAAAGCAGCCTCTTCGACTGTCTCCTCGCGGGCAGGCTGTGGGCAATCTTTCGACAGTGAAGCGGTTGCCTTAGATTGAAAGGTTGGTTTCTATCAATTAATTTTCATCAGAGCAATGACAACCAGTCTTTTATGGGAAAAAAGCTATTTTAATATAAAGGTACGCCTGACACCCCTGCCCGCTCTCACCCGACCGGATGCAAACTCTTTATACACAAAAGTCACCTCCCTCTCTCCATCTAGCTTCGTACACATGCATGTATTATGAATGCATAGGCTTTTGACATAATATTAAGTTCACAACCTTAAAAATGCGGAGCCCAAGCATAACGCACTGGTCTGTAACTTATTCAGTCGGATAGGAATTATCGGGGCTGCCCCGAAAGGCAAAGGGAACGCCGGCATAAATCATTTTTCAGATACATCTCTGTTTAGGCAAACAGCACACTTCCAGGAAGACT